TTTTCATTGGTTCCTGACCTCTCCTGCATCCTCTGGGTTATGTCATCCATGGCTATCATGAAGGATGGTTTTATGAAGGCATGACTCTGGGGTATTCCCAAACTAGAGGTGGTGTAGGAACTCCTTAAGAAGTGTCATGGAGGTTGGTTGACAGCTCAGCTGACCTTTGAGACCCTTGCTGGATTAATATAGCTGTTCTCTCCCCCCAGCCCCCACCCAGAGCTCTGGAGGACCAATCATGAGGCCCTACTAGAAGTTCTGGGAATCCTGGGGCTGGGACCTGAGAGGACTTTTAGCCTCAGTCTCATCTCTCAGGCAGAGAGGTTGGGATGCTCTGGTCTTACTATGTTGCTTGCCTTGAAGCCTGTCTAGGTTAGTGGTGCCTCTGCAAAGCCAGGCAGTCTTGGGGGCTAAAGCTAACAGCTTTAGACAAGGGTGGGAATTTCCACTCCTATCTAGGGAGCCATCAGCTCTGTATGCCCTGACCTGGGCCTTTGGCCTCCAAAGAGCAGTAGGAAGGCTGGCCCCAGGGCTAATCCCTGGCCATTAATCCCTCCTGCCAGCCCAAATATCCACCCAGCATGGTCAGACAAAGGGCTGCCCAGCCCAACCACTGTGTTCCTCTCACCCTGAGGGCTCTACTCAGATGTTGGGCCACCTGGAATCCAAGCCCATGAAAAAGGGACCACCTTCAGTGGCCATCTTATGCCCAGATGCTCAGCTGCATCACTTCCGGCCCATGGCCTGTGAAAAGAGCTCCCAGCCACGCTGAAAACACAGATTAGCCCTTGGGTAATCCCCTGACACTGCCTACTCGACTCTGGGAAGCAGGCCCAATGGCAAGGGCCCAGCAAGCACAAAGTACTGGAAAAGTCAGGCTCTCACTCTGTTGACCCAGCTCCCTGCCCCCACACCCACCAGGATCAGTACAGCTAGTTTTATATTCAGTATCTTTTATTGAACATATACTATGTTCCAGGCTGTATATAAAAAAAACAAAAACTGCATGTACAAGAAAATTGCAGTCTGTCATGGGAATAAACCCCACTCTTTCAATCCTATTCACTTCACTTCCTTGGTGGGGGGGGTTCATAGGGTCTTCAGTCCTAAAGAAAGATGGGTGAGACCTCCTGGGCTCTGAGGCTGGCTCCAGGATTATGTGACCCTGAATGAAAACATACAGGCTCTGAAATCAGTTTTTTGGCCCAGTCATTCTCATCCTCCTTCTGATTTAATACTGGAAATGTAGAAAAATAGCCCCTCTTATCAACTGCGGAGTCCCTGGGTGACACAAATGACTAAGTGTTGAACTACTGACTGGAAGTTTGGAGGTTCAAACCCACCACCAGTCACCTCAAAAGTGTTCTGCTTGTGAAAAGTCATAGCCTTGAAAACTGTATGGAGTGTTCTACTTTGGACAGATGGAACCACCATGAGTTGGAACTGACTCAACAGCAAGTAACTAACAGTAAGTTCCAAGTGCCAGCACTGGGACAGACACCTTCATACACAGTCTCATTTGAATTTCATAACAGTGCTAAGAAGGATCATTATTTACCCCATTCGGCAGATCAGAAAATTGAGGTGCAAATGAGTCACTGGCCCAGGTTACTTAGTTCTTGGAGATGGATTCGATGTTGCAGCAGTTGTTGTGTTGCCTTCTTTGGTGAGTTGTTCATTGTGATTACACTGTCTAGTGTGGATGTAGTCTGTGCTTAGGCAGTAGAATGCATGCCGGGAAGAATAAGTGTGTGAAGTTGTTGTTAGGTGCCATCGAATCGGTACTGACTTACAACCACCCTAGGCACAGCAGAATGAAACACTGCCTGGTCCTGTGCCAATTTCACAATCGATGCGATTTCAGCCCATTGCTGCCAATCCATCTCACTGGGGGTCTTCTTTTTCTCCGACCCTCCACTTTACCAGACATGATATCCTTTTCCAGGGACCGGTCCCTCCTGATAATATATCTGAAGTATGAGAGATGAAGTCTGGTCATCCTGGCTTCAAAGGAGTATTCTGTCTGTACTTCTTCCAACAAAGATTGGTTTGTTCTTTTGGCAGTCTATGGTACTTTCAATATTCTCTTCCAGTACCATAATCTAAATGCATCAATTTGTCTAAGGTCTATATGAGGTCCATATGAGGTTATGGAAAATACCATGGTTTGGGTCAGGCACACCTTAGTGCTCAAACTGACATCTTTGCTCTTGAGTACTTTAAAGAGGTCTTGTGCAGCAGATTTACTTAATGCAGTACATAGTTTGATTTCTTGACTGCTGCTTCCATGAGTGTTGATGGTTGATCCAAGCAAAATGAAGTCTTCGACAACTTTAGTCTTTTCTCCATTTATCATGATGTTACAAACTGGTCCAATGGTGAGAATTTTTTTGTTTTCTTTACATTGAGACACAACCCATACCAAAGGCTGCGGTCTTTGACCTTCATCAGTAAATATTTTAAGTTCTGTTATTTTGGAGGTTTTCCTGAAACAGGTTCAGGTAACTATCACTCTGGAATGGTGGCAATGTGTGGTGTTTCCAAGAACACATGCATCTACTCCTTTATTTAAAAAATTACCCCCACCGCACCTAGACTCTGTTGGGCTTTCCTTCCATCTACAAAGCTGCCAAGACCTCCCTATCCACAAAGATATGTGTGTTTCTTGGTCACAAAAATGATTTCAGACTCCAGTCTTATATTGGTAATATCACATGCAAGTAAAATTTTGATAAACATAATTCAAAAGTGACTGGACAATACACTGAGAGCAAACTTCCAGAGGTTCAAGCCGGATTCAGAGAAGGATGTGGAACAGCAGTATCACTGCTGACGTCAGATGAATCTTAGCTGAAAGCAGAGAATACCAGAAAGATGCTTGTTGTTGTTGTTAAGTGCCTTAGTTCAAACTGATCTTGTAGTCCAGTGCATTATCCCACAGTGCCACACCAGGACTCCAGAAAGATGTTTGCCTGTGCTTTATTGACTATGCAAAGGCTTTCAACTGTGTGGATCATGACAAACTATGGATCACATTGTGGAGAATGAGTATTCCAGAACACTTAAATGTACTCATGAGGAACCTGTACATAGACCTAGAGGCAGACATTCGAACAGAACAAGGGTTCTGAATGGTTTAAAATCAGGAAAGGTGTGCACCAGGGTTGTATTCTTTCACCATACTTACTCAATGTGCCTGGAGTCTTGGTGTGGCTACTGGGTTAATGCGCTGAACGGCAAAGTCAGTTCGAATTGCAAGGTCGGCGGTTCAAACTCACCAGTTGCTCCTTGGAAACCTATACAGCGTTGCTATGAGTCAGAACCAACACGACAGCACTTAACAACAACAACAACATTCAATCTGTATGCTGAGCATATAATCTGAGAAACTGGATTATATGAAGACAAAATATGGCATCAGGACTGGAGGAAGACTCATTAACAACCCGCAATACGAAGATGATACAACCTTGCTAGTTGAAAGTGAAGAGGACTTAAAAATACTGATGAAGCTCAAAGACCACACAGCCTTTGGTATGGGTTACATCTCAATGTAAAAAAACCAAAATCCTCACCACTGGACCAATTTGTAACATCATGATAAGTGGAGAAAAGACTGAAGTTGTCAAAGACTTCATTTTGCTTGGATCCACCAAGAAATCAAACAACATATGTTGTTGTTAAGTGCTGGCAAGTCAATTCTGACCAATTCTGACCCTGGATAGGGTTTCCAAGGAGCAGCCAGTGAGCTTGAACCACCAACCTTGCAATTCAAACGACTTTGCAGTCTGACTCATTAGCCCAGATACTCCAAATAGCAGGACTCCAAATAGCATTAGGCAATTTGGTTGCACAAGACCTCTTTAAAGGTGTCAGTTTGAGGGCTGAAGTTCACCTGACCCAAGATATGGTATTTTCAATAGTCTCATATGCATGTGAAGGTTGGACAATGAATAAGGAAGATTGTAGAAGAATCGATGCATTTGCCTTATGGTGTTGAAGAAGAATATTTAAAGTACCATGGACTACCAGAAGAACAAACAAATATGTGTTGAATGAAGTACAGCTAGAATGCTCCTTAGAAGCCAGGATAGTGTAATTTAGTCTCTTATACTGGGAACATAATATCAGAAGGAATGGGTCTCTAGAGGAGGACATGATGCTTGGTAAAGTGGAGGGTCAGTGAAAAAAAAGAAAGCTCCCAACGAGATGTATTAGCAGTGGCAGAGGTGCTGGGCTCAAGTTTAACCATTGTGAGGATGGTGCAGCACCAGGCAGTGTTTCCTTCCTTTGTGCATAATAAGGTCACTATGAGTAGGAATCCATGTGCACAGGATAGGGACCTTGGGAAGAGAACTGAGAGAGGAGACGGTGACTTTGTGGCGGAGCTGCCAAACATCTTCACTAGGCAACGCGGGCTTCACTATGTCTCCCTCTCCACCCCTACCCTACCAGTTCCATTTCCTCTGCCTAAATTTCCTCATACTTGATGCCTCTTTGACTAGCCACAGGTGTCCAACGGCTGGGAGGGTAGTCCTCATCTCTGCTCCAGCTGGGAGTCGGCTCTGGGGATGGAAGGACATGGAGAAGTTTGGGAGAGGAGGATGGAGAAAAATGGGGAGGGGACTTGGAGAGTGACTGTGTGCAAGTGATTAGGACTGGTCCAATGGGGAGGGAGTTGATGGAATAGGTGGATGGGCTGGAGGTAGGAACTGGCTGAATGGAGATGGAGAAGAGATGAGGCTGGGTTTGGGAAATATTAAACCTGAGGAATGAGGCCAGAGGAGGGGCGAATTGAGGGACGAGGTACTGAGAGCACAGGAAGGGGGATGGAAGAGCAAATTAGGGGGAGGTGCTGGTCAGCAGGGTAGCCGAGGTCCAAATGCTCTCCCCTGGTGGTGGGGAGCGATGCCCATATAAGGCTGGCCATTGGTCCTTGCAGTCCCGGAGCCAAGCGGGCAGGGGCTGTTGCATCCCTTCCGACGACTAGGCACAGTCCCATGGATCCTCCCGCTGCTTTCTCAGGCTTCCCGGCTCTGCCCTCGCTCGCACCGTCTAGGCTGTCGCCGTTTGCTGCAGGCGAGCTGGGGCCGGAGCCCGAGGCGGCTGCGGCGGTGGGCTGCGGAAAGACGGAGTCCCGGCCGGGCCCAGGGCGACGGCGGCGGCCCCTGCAGCGCGAGAAGCCGCCCTACTCGTACATAGCGCTCATCACTATGGCCTTGGCTCACGCCCCTGACCGCCGCCTTACCCTGGCCGCCATCTACCGCTTCATCACCGAGCGCTTCGCCTTCTACCGCGACAGCTCCCGCAAATGGCAGAACAGCATCCGCCACAAACTCACGCTCAACGACTGCTTCGTCAAGGTGCCCCGCGAGCAGGGCAATCCCTGCAAGGGTAACTACTGGACGCTCGATCCCGCCGCCGCCTCCATGTTCGACAACAGCAGCTTCCTGCGGCGCCGCAAGCGCTTCAAGCGCGCCCAACTGTCCGCCCTGCCGGTCGCGCTTCCCCGGCCCAGCCCTCTGCCCTTCCCCTTAGCGCCCTACGCGCCCACGCCGCCGCCCCCCGGCCCCGCGCAGCCTGCGCTCCTCCTCAGCGTCCACAGCCTGGTGAGCCTGCAGCCCGAGCCCGCGGCGCTGGGGACCCCGGAGTTGGACACCGGCGTCGCCTTCTCGCCCTGCTCGGCTGCCAGCCCGCCGCTTTACGCTCACGCCCCGGGCCGCCCGGCGCTGCTGCCCAAGCAACCTGGCCCCGGCCCACTTCCCGCCGAGCCGCTGTTGGCTTTGGCCCAGCCGCCGACCGCGCTCAGTCTGGGAGGGGCCTACCTGAGCAGTCGCGCTTCGCGCAGGGGCTGGAGGGTTGCCTGTTAACCTGTTTCCCAGGGACTGGGTTCTCCTCGCTGCTCCCCTTGTGTCCCAGGACTAGAACGCTGTGTGGTGGTGCCCCCAGTCATCCTCAGAACTCCCCAGCTCTGCTACTTGGACTGAGCACCCCTGCTAAATCGTCCTCTGCCCTGGGGAGACTTTCACGTTCTCTCCAACGGATGGACGCACAGCACGCATCCCATTTGTGAGTCGTCAGTTCGCCTTCCACTGTGTACCCCCTACTTTCCAGCACTGTATATGGGCGTCATGTCCAGGAACTGGACCTATATCCCAGGTTCCCTGGTGAATTTCCAAGCTATCAGTCAGAAGCCAAACCTGAGGTCTCAAGCTGAATCCTCAACTCACTCCTTACTTCGTCAACCAACTAACAAACCCCCTCACGTTTTTACAGCTCATTAGAGTTTACCGGACTTTATGCCTCCATTAACTTCTCTCCAATCCTTCCTTTCTTTTTCTCTCATACATTTGTGCTCCTCACCCCTGCCCCTTGTCCTGGATTATTGAGCCTGGGCCAGGGGGCAAGAACTAGCACAATGCAGACGGAGAGAAGGGATGAAGCTGGTTATAGAAAGGCTGACTCAAAAGGAAGAGGTCAAAGGAGGGGCAAAATAGAAGGTGGACAGGTGTATTGTGAGCACAGTGGAGTCAGGCTTCTGGGTTTATTACTTCCTCACTTTGTTTCCTCCCTCAACCCCCACATACCTGTCTGTCCACAGTCTCTTACTGGGCACGAGCTCCCCTTCCACACAGACACACCTAGCTGCCCAGTTGCCAGGACCTGAGGACACTTTCAAGAGTTCTGAAACAAACAGCACCAGGGACTCCTGGCCTTTCAAGGAGATACTGGGCCTTTTTATCTGCCCCACTGCGTGGAAAATTTAAAGTTTATGGCCTTTCCTTTAAAGTTAGTTTTAATTAAAAAAAAAAAAAGAAGAAGGGAAAAACCTCCCTTTGGGCTTGTGTGCTGGCTGGTAGTGTGGGGAAGTGGCCTGGGAACACAGTGGATAAACCTTGTTCAGGATCTTGGGTTTTCCACAGGAGGTGAGCCTCCTTAGGAGTCACCAGGTGAAAGTTCATAAAGTGGAAATAGGAAATGCATATTGTTGGCCTCAGAAAATGCACAGTGCACAGCTGTGTATAGATAGAGAAAAATAACAAAAACCAGTTGCCACTGAGTCAATTCCAACTCATGGAGATGTTATGTGTTTCAGAGTAGAACTGCACTCTGTTCAAGGCAAAGTAGATTGCCAGGTCTTTCTTCCAAGGTACCCTTTCTTCTAAGGTACCTCTGGATGGATTTAAACCACCAACTTTCAGTTAGTAGTTGAATGCTTGTGTCGTCCCAGGGTGTGAAGCCACCAACAAGACACAAACCACACATGCTCCATTAGCGTATTAGTGCTTTCTTTACTCACACAGAGAGGAGACACTGTGAGGTCTGCTTCTCTAGTGGGTACCAGTAAGTATCCGATGGCAGCAGGATCGTTTCTGCATATGGTTGCTGTAGGGCAGATGTTCTATATTCACCCCTCAAGAGACCTCATTCCCAGATCCACAAGTGTTGGCCAGGTGCCACATGATGCCCACACATGTGCAAGAGACAGAGAAAGCTACTGTATGCCCAGAACAGGGCAAGGCTACTCCAGTAAAGAGAAGAAACTGAGAGAAAAGGAGTGAACCAATTCCTGGCCTCCTTAACAGAGAATGTTCTGGGCCCAGGGCTTCACTTAGGCAGCCTGGATGGGAGGGGTAGAAGCAGATCATGACCCTCAAAACAAATTGTTGTTGAGCTGGTTCTGGCTCATAATGACCCTGGATAGGGTTTCTGAGGAGCAGCTGGTGAATTTGAACCAATGACCTTGTGGTGCAAACCTACCTTGTGGTCCATTTTGTTGTTGTTAAGTGCTGTAGAGTTGGTTCTGTAGAGTATGTTGTATAAGGTTTCCAGGCAGAAGCTGATGAGCTTGAACTGCCAACCTTGCGGTTCAAAATGACCTTGCAGTCCAGCGCATTAACCCACAGTCCTAGGACTCCATGGTCCATATTAGGCCTAGTAAAATGCCATTTCCTGCCTCTCAGAGCCTGGTAGAGATGAGATGGGGCATGTGTGTATTTACTTGGTATGTCAAGCAGTATACTTGGTACTGGGGATACATCAGTGAGTAAAAGGTTATGGAGTTTATGGACCAGTGGGGAAGAGACATTACTCCAGTCTTCACTCCTCAGAGACATGCATTAAGTGCTCTAGAACCTCGAACTCAAAGTGTGGTCCATGAACCTAAACGTCATCTAACAACGTGTTAGAAATGCAGAATCTCAGGCCAACCCCAGATCTCTGCATTTTAGCAAAGTTCTCAGGTGATTAGTATGCACAGTATTCTGGAGGCTGGGAGTTCAGTAAAAGGTTAAGACTCCCTACTAGCACGGTACCAGGTTCTCTTCAAAATGTCTGCAGCTGGACTCTGCACTATGACCCTTCTTACCCTCCCTGCTGGACTGTGAGTCTGGGCAGCAGGGACCCAGGTTGATTCATGACTGTCCCCAGCACCAAGGACAGGGCAGCACTGTGCAGAGAAGCAGAGATTGAGGTAAAAAGGAGGGAGCTGGCCTCTGACCTTGTCCTGTTCTCTGGTGCTGATCCAAACGCCAAGCATTAATCTTTCCCAAGCTCCCTCACCTCAGGGCTCTTGGTCTAGCAGAGCTTGGACTATTGGTTAGAGGAGGTGCAGGGAGAGGACCAGCATACCTTGAGAATATGTTCTATATGTTAGACATTTCTGCTATCTATCAGAGTTTGAAGCTCTGGCCATGCTGATGGAGGGTGAGAGTGGAGAGTGGGTGGTTCATAGAAAGGAAAAGTGCAGGAAATCTGAGAAGGGAAGGCCCTGCTTGTAAGTAAGGCAGTGGTTGTGCACAGAGTGGTACAAATTGCCCTGGACTGACATCTCCTCCCCTGCCTCCGGCTATTAATTCCTTAAACTGAGGGTCAGATCTAACTTGCCTGCGGCATAGCAGCCCTAGATCAGAGGTTTGAATCCACCAGCTGCTCCTCAGGAGAATGATGGAGGCTGTCTGCACGCAAAGATTTACAGCCCAGGAAACCCAGGGGAGCCGGTCTACTCTGTCCTATAGGGTTGCTATGAGTTAGAATCTACTAGATGGCAGTGGATGGGTATAGCAGTCCTGCAGTTAATGTTTGTTGATTGACTGAGTGATGGGTCTAATGCTGTACCTGACTCACTAAATAATGACTGAGTTAGCGCAGTAGGTGGCAGAAGGTCCAGACTCCGACTCTCCTGGACTAGAGCTCCATATGGAGTCCTAGTATGGCAAAGCCGTTTGAACTGCAAGGTCGGTGGTTCAACCTTACCAGCTGCTGCTTGGAAACCCTATACAGGGTCACTATGGGTCGGAATTGACTTGATGGCCCTTGACAACAACAACAGAGCTCCATAAAGATCAAAATGAAAGATTTCTTCTGTTCCATACGATGCCGCTTCCCATCTTCCTGCCTCAGAGCACCTGCTGATAATTTCCAGGCTCCGGGAGAACTTTTCACTCTGATGAAGCTGGGAAGTGCTTCTTCAGCTCTAAATTCTATTCCTGATGCTGCTCTGCAGGTCTATGTCCCCAGGTTCTTAGAACACTCAGAGGATAAATACTGGGAAGGTTCCTGCTGAACCTGAAAATTACAGAGGTTTTATTTTTTAAAAGCCTCTATAATTTTCCTTGTTTTTCAATACTATCAAGGGTTTGATGTGTACCAGGCTATGTGCTGGACTTTACAGCTGGTACAGATATAAATAAAAGAACATTTATGTCCTCAAAGAAATGTTGTCCATATGCAGAAAGCTATGTGTCCACATATAGACAAAATTTTTGACACTTAGGCAGAAGTTAGAAAAACTTCCCAATCCAACACTATCATTTAAAAGCACCATATATTTTTTTAACTAAAAATGAAATTTCAATATTATCCTCACCGCCCACACTTTTGGAGAAAATCATCTGAATGGACCCTTCAAAAATGCTCTTGTAGATACTTAGAAATTATCTGTAATCTGAAGACACATTTTCCACAGTTAATTTTTATTCTTATTGAAATAAACCCATAATTTAACAAGTCAAATAGCAATCAAAGGCTTATCATGGCATCTTGCCCCACTGTCAGAATCCTTGTTTTGTTCCCTAGAAACATCTAGTTTCAACTCATATTTGTTTCTTGAATATGAATATACCTCCATATTTCTATGCATATAATCCCCTCTCTTGAAACAGTAATGACTAACTTTATTACAATGAATGAGCATTTACTTTAAAATTTCCATCTCCTCCCACCCCACTCAACTACTGATACAGTTGTTACAACTTTGGTTCAATTAATTTTTAGCATTTATGTCTGACTGTTGTTAAATGCCATCGAGTCTGTTCCAACCATAGTGACCACGTTAAGGGTCTCCGAGGAGCAGCTGGTAGGTTTGAACTGATCTTGTGGTTAGCAGTCCTGTGCTTATGCTACCTTCTGGTAAGCTAATAGTGTACTATGATTACAATTCCTTTTTTTTTTTTTTTTTCTGGTACAACTTTAGGTTTTTCCTGGAGTTAATACTGCCTTATGTTTTCATTTGCTTACCTTTCTTTGGATCTGTGGCTAAATCTTCCCATACCTTCCGATAGCACTGCGGAATGATTTTTCTTGAGGTCACACTTATTGCCTTTGTTTCTTGTGTGTTTTCCTTCCTGGGGCAACTCTCTTGGAGTCCTTTCCCTCCAGCTCAGTCTGGACTGGTTGCTCTCACTGTCTGTCACACAGATGTGGCCATGAAATGTCCCTTCACTGACACCCTGGGAATGCTCTCTCTCTCTGTCCTGGATTGGATCCTGTTTCCTGCATATCATATCTTCACTTGTCTTGGTTTCTTCCTGGTTTTAGTCAAGGTAAATTTTAAAGAAATATTGCACATCTAAAATTAAGATGACTTCCA